CGGTGGCCGGACTGTGGCTGCTGGCGGCCGCAGCGGCAGCCAAAGAAACGCGCGAAGTCTGCGAACAAGTGCCCTACCAGGCCGCCGCAACCTGCTACCGCGACGTGGCCGTCAAAGAGGCGTACCCCTGCGACAAGGTCGAGACCCGGCAGGTCTGCAAGGCCGTGCCCGTGCAAGTCCCCGACACCTGCACGCGCACCGTCTCGCAGAAGGAGGCGTACCCGTGTCCGCAGACGCAGCTGAAGACGGAGTGCTTCGACGTGCCCAAGACGTGCATGCGGACGGAGACGACGGTGCAGAGTTTCTCCTGCGGGAAGGAGGAGTGCAGGATGGTGCCGAAGGAGGTGCCTGCCAGCTGCACGCGCCAGGTGCAGCAGCAGCAGCCGTACCCCTGCAGCAAGACGCGCCAGGAAAGGGTTTGCCAGCAGGTGCCCTTCCAGGTCTCCAAGACTTGCTTCCGCGAGGAGGTGGTGCAGGAGAGCTACTCGTGTCCGCGGACGGAGTTCAAGCAGCAGTGCAGAAGCGTGCCGCAGTCCGTGATGGAGGTTTGCCAGAAAACCGTCATGGTCAGCGAGGAGTACAAGTGCAGCAAGACGCAGCTGCAGCAGCAGTGCGAGCAGGTGCCCTTCGAAGTCCCCGACACTTGCTTCGAAACTGTGGAGGCCAAGAAGCCCTACAAGTGCAAAAAGACGGAAATGCGCCAGCAGTGCCGCAGGGTCCCCGTCCAAGTCCCCAGCACTTGCACCAAAACGGTCATGGTCAAGGAGGCCTACGAGTGCCCCAAGACGGAGTACAAGACGGAGTGCTCCGCCGAGGAGCCTGCTGCTGCTGCTGCTGCTGCTGCGCCGCTCTGCAAGGGCAAGCACTGCAAAATGCGCAGACTCAAGGCCGCCCCCACCTGCCGCACCGTCCCCTTCCAGGTCTCCAAGACTTGCTTCCGCGAAGTGCCGCAGCAGGAGCCCTACGGCTGCAGCAAAACGGAGTTCGAGGAAGTTTGCGAACAAGTCCCCTTCGAAGTCCCCGACACTTGCTTCCAGACCGTGCAGCAGCAGCGGCCCTACGCCTGCAGCAAGACGCAGCTGCGCCAGCAGTGCCGCAGCGTCCCCGTGCAGGTCCCCAGCAGCTGCAGCAGACAGGTGCCGCAGCAGCAAAGCTACCCCTGCCCCAAGGTCCAGCTGCAGCAGCAGTGCGAACAAGTGCCCGTCACCGTCAACAGCACCTGCAGCAGACCCAAGACCATCCAAGTCCCCTACTCTTGTCCGGAGACTCAGTTCAAGGAGCAGTGCCGCATGCAGCCGGTCTCCTACACCGACACTTGCATGCGCGCCGTTGCTGCAGCGGAAGAGTACCCCTGCAGCAAAACGGTGCAGCAGAAGGAGTGCCACTTCGTGGACAAGACCTGCACCAAAAGTGTCCCCGTCCAAGTCCCCTACGACTGTCCCAAGCGGGAGTGCAAACAAGTCCCCTTCACCGTCGAAAAAACTTGCTTCCGCGACGTGCCGCAGCAGCAGCAGTACGACTGCAGCAAGACGCAGCTGCAGCAGCAGTGCGAGCAGCAGAACTTCACTGTCTCCAAAACCTGCTACAACGAAGTCCTCAAGCAGCAGCCCTACCCCTGCACCGAGACCAAGTACACCACCAAGTGCCGCCAGGTTCCTGCTGCTGCTGCTGCTGCGCCGCTGCTGCCCCTCGCGCTGCCCCAGTCCAAGGCTGCTGCTGCGCCCGTCCTCCCCGCTGCTGCTGTGCCTCTTGCTGCTGCTGCTTCCAAGGAGCCTGCTGCAGCAGAGGCCCTGCCCCTCGCCCTCTCCAAGGAGGCCCCCGCCCCCCTCGCCATGGCCGTCTCCAAGGAGGCCCCCATGATGCTCTCCAAGGCCTAAACAACAACCCCACCTCCACTTCCTCCTGCTGCACCACCACCAGCAGCAGCAGCTGCAGCAGCAGCAGCACGCCCCACACCCGCGGGCGCCGCAGCGAGCGCTGCGCCCCAAATGCGCCCCTTTTACGCAACAAACACAACACGCCCATTCCTAAGTTCTGATTCCACCTCTTCCCGCCGCGCAGCTAGCTAGCTAGCTACCTACCTACCTACCTAGCTAGCTAGCTAGCTAGTGGAGTTGTTGCAGCCGCGCACCTAGCCAGCTAGCCAGTTTGGTAGTCACTTGGCTAGTTCTTTAATTTGCAGCCACTCGTCAGTCACCTAGCTAGCTAGCTGATCAGCCACTCTTCAGCTAGCTAGCTAGCCAGTTGAAAGCCACCTAGCCATCTACCTAGCTAGCTAATTCACAGCCACTTGGACAGCCAGCTAGCTAGCTAGCCTCTTGACAGCTAGCCAGCAAGCCAGATAGCTGGGGTTCCACTCTAGGTCCTTGTTGTTCAGCTAGCTGGTTTCTTGCGAACTCGACTAGCTCCTCAGCTAGCTAGCTAGCTAGCTAGCTAGCTAGCTAGCTAGCTAGCTTCTTGTGGACTTAAGTAGCTCCTCATCTCTAGCTAGCTAGTCTGCCTAGTTAGCTAACTAGCTGGCTAGCTAGCTAGCTGGGTCTAGTGGCTAGCCCTTCGGCCCTTCTTGCCCTTTCAGACGCACTCAGACGCACCAGCAGCTAGCTAGCTAGCTGGCTAGCTAGCTAGCTGTGTCGCTTCGTTGCCGAGGCAGGAGTGCCACAGAGGTAACTGCTCCTCAAGAAGCTAGCTGATTGCCTGCGCTTGACGCTCCAGCTAGCTAGCTAGCTAGCTAGCCAGATAGGTAGCCAGCTAGCCAGCTAGCTGTCCAGCTGTTCGGCTAGCTGCTTAACTAGGTATATAGCTGGATATCCAGGTAGCTATTTAGCTAGCTAGCTAGCTAGCTAGCTATTTAGCTAGCTAGCTAGCTAGCTAGCTAGAGACCCTTCGGCCTGCCTGCTGGCTAGCTAGCCAGCTAGCTAGCTACGACACACTGCAGCCCAGGACTCCACAAAACGCGACATTTTTCCCTCGCTTGCTGCAGCCAGCCGTGGCTAGCTGCGGCTCCCTGTGGCTAGCTGCAGCCAGCTGTGACTAGCTGTGGCTAGCTGCAGCTAACTGTGGCTAGCTGCAGCTAACTGTGGCTAGTTGTGGCTAGTTGTGGCTAGCTGTGGCTAGCTGTGGCTAGCTGTGGCTAGCTGTCAGCGAAAACAAGAAGGCAAGGTCAAAGGGACTTTCCTTGGAAAGCAAAATTCAAATATTTCAAAAATTCTAAATTAAAAATTAAAAGAATGAACCCTAAGCCCTAAACCCTAAACCCTAAATAAATCAGCAGTGGCTTCTTCGCTCACGGGAAGACGAGTCCACTGCCTAAACCCTAAACCCTAAACCCTAAACCCTTTTTCCTGCGCTAGAATTATGGCCTAAACCCTAAACCCGAAACCTTAAATCCGAAACTCTGAATCAGGCGTTCAGCCATGGATGCAAAATGAAGGGGTTTGGAACAAAAGGGTTTGTTTTGTTGCTGCACTGGAAAGGGTTTAAAACCCTAAACCCTAAACCCTAAACCCTAGGGGATTCCTTATCACTCTTCATCCCTGATGAAGACTTGGGGCTTCATCGGCAGAGTTGCGGGGTCCTCTTCTTCCGACTCGGACTCGCTTGCTGCTGCTGCTGCTTCTGCTGCAGCAGCAGCAGCAGCAAACGGGGACGGCGGAATGCCCGTGCTGCTGGCGGGGGCCGGCGCAGCAGCAGACCACTGGGACCTGCTGCCGCCGC